TAATCCCCGCAGTGGATAAATATGTTGGATGAAACGAAAAAATTAGTAGTTAAAGTTACCATGCGAAAAGGCAGAACATAATTTTTAAAAATTTCAAATGACAATATCCTCAACACGTTCTAGGCTGAAGCTATCCAATCCTCTCTTCCCAGTCTTCAGCGTTCAACGCGATTACGTAGCATTTAAGTGATGAATAATTTACACCATAAAATCAACTTTGCCGCAGACGTAACCTCAAAGGCCAATAGTTTTTCGATCATTATTTCTACGGAAAATGATCTGACCACCACATCAAGCGTTTACAGCTAAACATTTCCATACTGTACACACAAGAGTTAACTATCTGCATTCCTTTTGCATTCATTTTTTTTCTATTCGGACAGCTTATTCCAAAGAGCTGCTATTGTGTGAGAATTATTACCGAGAGGAATCTTTTCTTCGCTCACAAAGGCCAAGCGTTATTTCTTGTCATGTTCTACAATTCTTACGTCCCTAAGACAAACTAATTCAGTATCCTTCTCTCTTGAGAGCCTCTTGTCCTTTGTATTGCATGAATATTAGCTTAAAAAAACCTACTAAGTTTTACTCACCTGATTTGGTCTCTATTTAACCTTTTATCATGTCTTCAATTTTATGAAATTCTACGAAACCATAATTCATCGTCTCAGCCTGAATTTCTAGGATAAGGAATTATTATTATACATTGATTTATTCGGACTGTTGTTCTAATTTTGCTTGATTTAGTCCAAATGTTGAAGCCACTGCCCCTACAGACATTTTCAGTGTCATATAGTTGGAATTTTAAACTAAGCATTTTATTTAATTCACATACAACTAAGCATTTTATTTAATCCACATAAAACTAAGCATTTTATTTAATCCACATAAAACAGGCTGCCATAGTGGATTTAAATAAAGGATTGAATTCGAAATAACATTATGTCCGGCATATATTTACCAAATATTTAATAAGCGGAAGAACATCATTAGGAAAATAAAACAATGTATACATACGCAAACACTTTTAACATTCGTTTTCTGTTTCAGGAGCTTTTGTCTTTATAACTTTGACCGCAGACAACAGATCAAGATTTAGTGGACACGATGGGAATTTTAGTAGAATGAATCTAATTTCTAGTTGTCTCAATCTTCGAATTTTAACTGTGGAACTAAAAACAGAAATAAAAAAGGATTAAGATATGTCGAATACAAACATAGTTTCCAAGATGACCAGTTCAATAAAAATGGCAGAAAGATCCATATTCCTAATTTCATTGAGAAGTAAAGATACAGTGTCCCCCAAAATCTATTAACTTTTTTCTTTGTTGTCTAAATATTTATAAACATGCATTTAATCTCATTTAATGATTTAATTTAAACCATTAATATTCCTGATAATACAATAAGCATTAATAGTTTTACGTTTAAACATTAATCTTGTTTGCAATCAATATATACTGCATTATGACTAGATATAACTATGTATTTATTATATTATATATATATAAAACTTGAAATTTTAATTATTTACACGCATCAATCTAGCTTTTTTCGACATATTTAACCTTTTTCTCTAATGATCTTATGTTTCTGATTTCAGAAGGAAACCTGGAAAATTTACAATACATTTAATTTTCCTTTTTATTTACTAAAATTATAGTTTATAATTGTAATATTGATATATGGGAAAAAAACGTGGGTTTAAACTGATGCCAGGGGGATACGTGCAAATAAAGAAGAAGTGATTTATTTGCCTTCATTATATTAGCATGAGCCATTATTTTTTTTTAATTTTAGTTTTAAAAGCATTATTCTTTTATAACCTTTTAAGGTCTGCGTTCCTGAACAATTTTAACTCTTATGTTTGGGCTCCTGGGTCAAAATTCACAAATAATTGGTACGTAATGTTTCACGTTAAATATAAAAAAATAGTTACAAGTGTTTACACACCGTTCAACATTTTTTTCTACCACTGTTTGACTGGTGGCTGAACATTAAGTCATTTTTTCTACCATCGGTTAAGCGGTGGTCAGGGATGAAAGGGTTAATTTAGAGTAGTAAATAAAAACTATTCAAAGTTATTATATCTGAAAAATGTAATCAGCTGGAAACGGATGGAATGATATTTCCTTTTAAACTTTGTTGTAGAAGGTCAGTGACTTTCACACCGACATGACGTGGTTTCTTTATGACTTTTTTACAAGAAGTTTGATGGTAACTGCTGTAACGAGCTTTTATTCTTTGTTCCTCGAATAGATGATTTTAAGCATGTTACTAGATCGTCATCTAGGTCCCACTGTTTTACTATTCAAATGGCGAAATGCAACAGCCACTTCTACTAAAAAGATTTCTTTTCTCGCACTTCCTTGCTTCCCTGATACTACAAACTTCAAAAGTTTAAATGCTACATCAATCACCATCTTCATTCTTCTTGTACCCAGTTCCTCTTCTGTCCTTTCTTAATCTTCCCTACTCTCAGTCTTCTCTTGCACTTTCAGTCCCTGTAACCCTGTGCGTACTAGTGACATTAGCGCCTTGCTTGGGATGAAATGATTAAAAATTTATATATTTTGACCGTAAATCGGCTGGTGAACGACATCAATTTCTGGAAAGTGATGAAAGTCATATTGCTCTTACGATCTAACGATATCTATAGTAAAAAGACATCTAAATTTCAAATATCATTCTCGTTCATGTATAAATGTATTGTGAAAGAATTTATTTCTATAATTCTAAGTTGAGGTACTGTAAAAATTTACACTATTTACATTTTTTGAACTAGTGTCTTCATCTTTGTTGTTATATTCACGGTGTTTCGGCTGTCCGGCCTTCTACGGGGGATTTTGGGTTGAAATTCAATTCCGAAACGTCGTGAATATGACAACAAAGATGAGAACCACAGTCCGAACAATGTAAATAGTGTAAATAGTAGGAATTATATTATCGTTCTTCGAAGATTTATATAATAATGTTATTCGACTTGTGTTCTTAAAGAGCATTAACAGATCGAGACTTTCATATGGATGGCACGCTACGCGCCGAACACATTCAGAAATATCTGAACTTCCCGCTTTATACAACGACATACTCAGATCAGTGGTTAAAAATGACTTTGAGCGACTGAAGTCTATAGATCTTGGTGAAGACTAGACTTTTCTGATCCTTGTGGACTGGTGCTATATAATCACAAATAAAGAACTGTGCCAAATGAGAAAAACCTCATCATTTTTAGGACTTTGAACTGCACCAACAGCTAAAATTGATATCATATATAACTCAAAGAGAAAACAATGATAAATACAAAAAGTTGACAGTCAACACTACTTCAAAAAATGGTATGGAAGGAAAACTCCCATCGATTCTAGAAAAGGCGATAACATCAATAAACTTAAGAAATCTATTTTCTTGAAAGAAAGTTTTTTTTATAAGATTCACCCGACAGTAGAGCCATCTGTTCGGTCAGTGAATGCCGAAGGTTTCCTCATAAGGAAATGGCTAATATTACCATTAACATTCTTAATGAAATGAAAATATATTTGTTCAACTATTAAAATTAAGGTAATACAATTTTCCCGAGCCAATCAATTTAGAGGGAACTGATAAAAATGTCAACGATAGTGAGATGTGGTACAAGTTGAAGACGTAATTTTTTTTAATCATTTCAACCTAAGCAATGGGTTACAGAAAGTGAGATCATGAATAAAGTGTCGTGTTTGAGGAATGGATAAAGCGAAAGACGGGTAAGAAATCTAAGCATCATAAGATGTCGATTGACATTACATTTGAATATTTGAAGATTATCATGGAAGCAGGTAGGTTGAAGGGAGTTTAAGAGGCGATTATATTGAACTGCTTCGACATTGAAAGGTTGGGACAAAGATGACAAACTAGTAGAACACATAAATTCGGTACCAATGAAAGTAGCTCATCAGAACAATTGCCAAGAAAATATTTGTAGAAATGACAGAGGAAAGCTACATCACGTCTGTAAGAAAGTGACTGTAGTCGAGATACCAGCTCAGGACCTATTACCTTGCATATTCCGTGGGAAAATGTTCTGACGAGATTCATTCTTTAGTTCCACTAGTTAGATTTTTCACAGCTAAAATCCACTATACCGCGTACACATATTCGTATCATCTACCTTGCGTTCGCATTCGATTGATAAGAAATGAAGTTCCATTCGAATAAATTCTTCCAAAGAAACGCTATTTTTTTAAACAGACGCCTGAGAGGATGATTCACCGATTACTAGAACTGTAACCTCTTCAGTTCTCAGATTAGTCTACTTAATCTTATTCAGGTACCTTCTATCTGGAGAGGCTCTTGGTCTTTGTACTGGGTGAACAGCATTAGAAATGAAAGATTTGATTCCGACTATTTTACATGGCCAATTCTAGCTGCAAATGTTTGTAGCAGTGGAACGAAAGGATGGAACTTATTTGAACCGTTTCCATGGAAATAGTGACAAAATAGTGATGGGGTTTACGGTTCGAATAAATACATTATAGTTGATTTTCCGCGGTTGAAATAAAATATTGCTCTATTATACAAGGAAATACTCTTAATATTATATTAGGCAAAAGGTATTAAAAACATTAGCCACAACATGCATTAATTAGATATAAATTACTTTAATATAATCATTTTTTTTCTAATCAGTTTAATATATTACACTTATTTTGATCTTGTGTCTGGATAGGTCAAAATGAGCAAATGTCTAAGGCATTGACGGTATATTAATATATTTGCTGATAATAGGCGCCAGGAGACAAAAAACATATGAAAATAGAAAAACAAGATGAAAATGTTTTATGGTAATTAAATGAAAGAGTGAATGAATTATTGCATGAATGAATAAAAGAAAGAAAGAAAGAAAGGACACACAAAAATTAAAGAAAAGAAGCGAAGGCGTGAGTTAAAACTAAAACAAACGTAAATGTTAGAAGGATAGAGAGAGATATAGAATAAGCGGAAGGCGAATAAAGAAGAAAGAGACGTTAAAGAATAAAGGGAGAGAAAGAAAAAACGAAAAGAAAGAAAGAAAACGAAAAGAAAGAAATCGAGAAGAAAGAACGAAAACGAAAAGAAAGAAAACGAAAAGAAAAACGTAAAAAGAAAGAAAATGAAAACGGAAAGGCAGAAAGAAAACAAAAGAAAGAAAGAAAACGAAAAGAAAGAAAGAAAACGAAAAGAAAGAAAGAAAGAAAACGAAAAGAAAGAAAGAAGACGAAAAGAAAGAAATCGAGAAGAGAAACAAAAAGAAAGAAAATGAAAACGAAAAGGTAGAAAGAAAACTAAAGAAAGAAAGAAAACGAAAAAAAAGAAAGAAAACGAAAAGAAAGAAGGAAAGATGAAGTAAAATGGAAGAGAGAGAGGGGGGAAATGAGAGCATTCAAAGAAAAATATGCGAAAGAAGTAAAAAGAGTGTAGCAAAGAAAAGAAGGAAGAAAAGGAGAAAGAATTTTCAACGACATATGAAAATATAAGAGAGAAAAAAAACTAAGTAAAAGAAATAAAACAATGAAACATAATGAAAAGAAAATGAAAGGAATGTGAAAAAATCAAGGAAGGAAATATATTTTTACGTCAGTGTTACTTTGTTATTGATATGACGTTTTATTTCTTAACTGACCATTTTTTTAAACTTTTTTTTTTTTTTTTTTACCAAGACTATGTTGAATGCAAACAGCATTTGGTAAAATATTGTACTAGAACGCAAAGGAAAGAAAAAAAAAAGACTTTTAACGATGTGTTCTTGGTTCGTTTGCTGGGGGTGGCGTCGAAGGACAAACAATTCCAGGCCATTGTTCTGCCGGCTTCTTTTATAGGCAGCTCGATTCTTTAAGCATTACGCTTCATTCAAAACATTCTATGTGCCTTAGTTTCTTTTTCGCACCCGGATTTCATTTCAATACAATATAATTTGTTCCATTGTGAAAATTTGCATATTTTGTGTCAGCTTTTTTTCCCCCTTATTTTGTTTTACTTTCGATCGGAGAAATCAACACCCACACCCGGAAACATAGGGACACACACACCCAAACCCACAAAAGCACTTTCACAAACTTGTATGTATATAAACATGTACAGAATACATCGATTTGTGGTTACATATGCATATATTTCCAATATCGATATGCTTGTAACTTCGTTAATAAACTTATTCAAATATGATTATGCATATACATGTACACAGACACACACACACATATATATATATATATATATATATATATATATATATATATATATATATAGTTGTATATTTAGGCAGCAGTCCTTCGTTTATGCATATTTCATTAAAAACGGCAGAAAAGGTACTACGGTTAAGCGTTTTGTTTAATTTTTCTTGTGTTCGAACATGAGATCTCTTTTTTCTGTAAAAAACTGTCCAAATGTTTTATATTTCCGGGCGCTTTCGGCTATACCTTTAGCCATTATCAAGGATGATTAAATTTTTCAGCTTAATTGAGTTTGTGCGTTATGACTATGTTTACGTGTGTTGTAGAGATGTCTTTAATTTCGTAATACGGTTAGCACATTGTAGTTAATATTGTTAACATTTGACATTCTTTTTTATTATTAAAGTTTCTATTATTTTTAATCTTCTTTTTGTAGATGAATGAAGTTATATTTGTGTTTCTACTAGTATGTTTATAATGGAGACTGGTAAGTTTGTGTGTGTGTGTGTTTAAATGGACACTCAGACAAAAATGATAAATATATATATATATATATAGATAGATAGATAGATAGATAGATAGATAGATAGATAGATAGATAGATAGATATTAATATATATCTATATATACTGGACTTCTGCATCGCTTCCGATCCATGTGGACACAGAAGCTCAGTTATTAGAACCAGACTACCCTCATAAATGGTTTGATCTCACTGGCGAAGGCCATTACCGAGTCGACCACAATTATCAGAATAACTGACTATAGAGAACTGTTGCAGAGATTTTGCCAGAAGACCAAAAGATTCCAGAAGACCTTCCTCAAATTTTGAATTCAGCGTTGTTCTTCTCCTGGAGGAGAAAACAGGAACCAGTGTGTCTTGCAGTTTACTCATAGTTAGAGAGAAATGATGTGTTCATAACATTACAAGCATTATGTACACGTAAGGTAAATTTAGCCAATTTGACTGGAATTCAAATTAGGATTTCCGATTTCTCATTCAATGTCGATAGAAATATATATATATATATATATATATATATATATATATATAGAGAGAGAGAGAGAGAGAGAGAGAGAGAGAGAGAGATCGCCGTTAAATAGCAGGAGATACTGGTTCCAATAGCATTGTCTCAAAATGCACAAATGCAATCATCTGTCATCTGTTTCAAAAATTGCCCAGATAAAGTACTTGTATTATTTCGAACAATTACTATCATATTTGTTGATATAGATGTTATTATAGACACAACTTTTCGACCAAGTACCCTCTAGTCATAATCAGGTGTCCGCCAATTGGCTGATATCGAATATATGTTGATCATTATAATATTTTGTCCCTGCGATGAAAGTTATTTTTCGTTCCTGCCGAATTGGTGGTTCACTACCGGATTCAAGGATTGAACTTAGGACTACTTATTCTTCATGTGCCGTGCCCCTCAGGACGATGACCGTTATCGCTCTCCAAAATTTTCTGCCCCTTTTAGCTCTTAATAAATTCTATCTTTTTCATTTAAACCATTTCCCACCATCCATTTACTAAGTATGCTATACGTTGTTTTACTACACTTCTTTCGATTTCAATATGTCCTGTGCGTTTCAGATTTTCCAGGCCCTGTTTCCTCATTTGGTGGCCTAGAAAACTTCACTGTATCTTTCTGGTGTTAAGTAAAACTTTCTTTTTTGTTTCCATTTGTTCTAAAACTTCCTTGCAGATCTCTTCTTCATCGTTGTTGAAGATTGCCCAGCAATCACTGTTATGCAGAGGACAGATATCATATGACTGTTTGGTACTCTTTCCCTTGTTTCTAGCGTTGTTTTTCTATTTCTTACTATTGTGTTTACCTGTTGGAATGCATCTTTGGCTATCCCAATATGCCTTTGGATTCCAGTGTCACACTTTCCGTCGTCTCTTAAAATAATTCTTAGATATTTAAATTTCCACACATGTTTAAATTTCGTTATCTCCAATCTATAATTCATACATTGGGATCATTCATTTCCTAACTGCCATGCATTCTATTAATATGTGACAGGAGCACTGGCATAATTAACTCATATATCTACTACACCTCTATCTCAATGGATATATGTTTTAGATCCGTTTAGATTCAATATAAGATGGGTTTTGATATTTGGTGATGATGGTGAATTTGTGTCGATTTTCATTTCCATAAGTTAGTCTTAAATTTCAGATATGATTCATTGTCAATATATTATTCTCTGACCGCTCAGGCTACCCTCTACATTTATAAAAACCAGATCAGGTCGAAAATGGAGTACTGTTTACCACATTTGGGCATGAGCTACCCAGACCTTTCCAGGCTTGATAGAGTTTTTTAAGCTTTTCACCCCAAGCAAGACGGGAATGCCACTATCACGCAAGGGGTTATAGAGAGTGAAAGCAAGAGTAAAGAGACTTGATAGAGGAAAGAATGAACCACGGACTCTTGGAGATGACATTGCATTTGAACACTTTGAGATTATAGCTATCACGGAAGCAAGCAAGAGGAAAGGAGTTCCACAGAAGGGAATTACGAGACATGAAGCTATTGGAGTAGAAGAGGCATTTAACCGTTTCGACAGTGAAAGGGTGGGACTGAGATGCCAACCTAGTAGCACGCTTAAATTCATGAAGTTTGGGAACTAGCGAAAGTACCTCGTCGGGGCAGTTACCGTGAAAGTTCAAAATCGTCTCCAAGTCCTTGTGGGAGAAGAACTATTCTCCACCGTCCAACCTCTCTCTCACAGGCGGGGGTGTGGCGTGCCTCACACTGCTCTATCGCTACTATCATGATTAATGCTAGGGCGAACTGCATCTGTTGGTTCCACGAGGTCAGGCTTTCACAGCTAGGACCCGGCATGACATTTACATAGTAGCGAAACAGCCACATTTCCCCCGTATTCCATCGGCGACAATTAAGTTTCACTCATACAGCATCTTTCCGAAAATCACTGCCCTATGGAACACTTTGTCGAGAGTTTTCCGCGATTACTACAATCTTAACCGCTTCAATTTTAGAGTACATCGTTTTCTTGCTCTCCTATCTATATAAACTACCGATTATCGTAATCCACTACCTCGAGTGGCCACAGACCCATGTACGGGATCGACCATTCGGTATTATATATATATATATATATATATATATATATATATATATATATATATATAAAATATCATTGATGATTAGAAGGATAATTCAAGGAGGATATAAATGCAAAGAGAGATCAATGTAAGAACAGAGCAATATAATAATGAATACAGAATCCTTAAAAATATATTCGGTCTTGTGATAATTTATTTCGTGGAATGCAGACTTCCATCTCTTCAAACAAGGTTTGCAAAAATAAATCAATTTATTTATTTAAAATTATGAATCTATTTTTGTAAAACTGGTCTGAAGAGATAGACGCCTGAATTCCACGAAATAAATTATCACATGACCGGATGGATGTTTAAGGATACTTTATTCATTATTATATTGTTCTGTTCTTACATTGAGCTCTCTTCGGATTTATATCCTTCTTGGAATTATCCTTCTAATAATGAATACTATATATATATATATATATATATATATATATATATATATATACACACATATATATATATATACATATATATATATATATATATATATATATATATATATATATATATATACATACATATATATATATACATATATATATCTATATATATATATATATATATATATATATATATATATATATATATATATATATTGTAATGAGATCACATATTGGGCTGTTTGTCAAGCTGAAACATTCTGCCTTACAATTTACGGTCAGTCCTTTTGTCCCGCGTCCTTTTATTAGCTTGTCTAGGAAAACTTACCGTTTTCTTCTTGTGTTTGTGATCAAAACTGTGTCATTTGCAGACACATCGTCAATCTTTTTGGGCAGGAATATATGTTTATTCCTTGTTTCCTGTTTAGGGAAGGGTTTCCTCTTCTTGCTAAATTCTTATTTAAATCTAGATTCTAACGCCTCTACTTAAACTTTGAAATTTTATTAACTATATTTTTTTACATTTTTTTCTTCAATAAGAATAGATTGGTTCCTCTATCGCCCGGTTAAAATTCTTCCCCATTGCTTTACGCAGAAATAGAAGGATTGGATTTCTGTTTTCTTCTTAAGTCTACAACAACTCTATACCTCTAATGTCTAGGCGTAAACTCTGAAATTTTATTTATATTCATTTACTTTTATTTCTTAATAGAAGTAAATAGGTTCGCCTATCGGCAAGTTAACAATCCTCCTCGGTCTTTTTAAACAGGAAAAGAACTTTATCCCTTGCTTCCTGTTTGGCGTTTCCGGTTCCTTTTCAAGTGTTTTCTTTCTGTAGCATATCTAGTACCCTCTTGCCTGTTAGTGGCATTATCATCCTGCGTGGGGTGAATCGAAAAAACAAAAAAACAAGTAGCATATCTGGTCAATATTTTATTCACCAATATTATATTTTGGTAGGACGTCTATATCTTTTAATTTTGTTTCGATGGGATCTTTAAGTAAACCATTCGAGAAATCGTATTCCTGTCTAACGCAAGTTTTTGTGTACATGCTCAGTTCGTTTTTCGCAAAATGTCGGCGGGTTTTTTGTCCAGTATATATTTTGAACTCTTCTCTGTATTTACCGAATAGACCATGTTTTCCTCGCAGTCCACATAGATCATTGCGGTTTACCTTATAAAAGGCGTTTGCGTAGTCTACGAAACATAGGTATACGCCCTTCTGTACTTGCATTACTCTCCAAGCTCTCATCATTTGTTACTTTGGATCTTAAATAACGACGGGTCGACCGGGAATTGTGACTTACACATCATGACACGACGATTATGATGTGTGTGGCGAGGGTTATGGAACTCAGTTTCTAGATTCTGTTTTCCAAGTGACTGCTAATTGCTCAAACCTACGCATACATGCATATATGTGCACGTGTAATTGCTACCTGAAATTGGTGGATCGCGTGGTATCCGTTAATAGCAGCCTTCTCGTCCCGAACTGCTCTCAGTTGATGTCACGCCATTTTGTTCAGAGATAAGGAGCCTAGCTTTGAGTCACCGACATTTAATTAATACGTTGGAAAATTACGAAATTTGCGGCGTCCAAATTGCGAACGAGATTCCATAGAGAAGTCATCCAAATTAAATGACAGGAACGACCTGATAACTACCGGACATAGGCTTGAACGGCAAAGAAAGCGAAAGAACCGACAGAAAGACAAAAGAAAAGAAGGAAGAAAGCCACATAAAAGAATGAAAAACAGACACCAAACAAATTCAAAACGAGGATGGAAAGTAAAATTTTACTTGAAGGAAGGCGCCATTGGGTGTAAAAAAAAAAAAAAAAAGCGGGAAGTAAATGTTGAAAGAGACAATTTTGTGAAGTGAAACAGGAGAAAAAATAAGGTTCTGAAAGAAATTTGGTCGAATTAAAAGAAAAGGAAAAAACGTCTTATGATTCTAACAAATGAATGAAGCAATTAAAAAAAACTGAAAGAAGAAAACTAAATAGAATTTTTGTTGCTGGAGGAAGAACTATAAAAAATGGACGCGGACAGACGGAAGTTGAAAGAGAAAAAAAATTAGAATGCCCCGATTCAAGACACGAGAAACATTCACGATAAAGATTTTATTCTTAAAATAGTAAAAATGAATGACGTGTGATATGAATGAAAGAGATTTTTAGTAGGAACTGAAGCTTATGAGGATAAGGGGGATAGATAACGATTGAAAATCATGAGGTAAAGATTGAAAGCCATAATAAAAGAAACATTATGAAACCCTTAAATTGTTTACGAAAGTGAATAAAGAACTTCAGGAAATCGTATCAGGGTGCAAGGCTCGAGAGCCACTCATTATAGAGGATTACTGAATGAGAGGTGTAAGACAAAGTGATAAGAAGGGAAGGTCATGAGAATACGAACTATAGATAATGACTGATCCTTGAAATGATGAGTTTAAGATTGCAGAGTTAAGGGAACAAACCAGTTGCCTCTTTCACGAAGTTGCAATTCTAAGAGAAAAATAACCTTGAGTGGAACCTCATCCTTACAAATGGAATATACAAAAATGAAGGGGATTTGATTCTGTCGAAATGAATTCAAATGGCGTGGTAGGAAGTGAAGTTTCTGAGGATAAAGTGGCTAGATAACGATTGAAAGGGTTGACAAATAAATATTATAAAGAAAAATTTTGAGGAAATATCAGTGTGAATGGTTCGAGAGTCACCCAATATAGAGGGTTACTGAATGCGTGTAAAAGGAGGTTGTATCAATTAATCATACAGCAAACATTCGGCATTCACTGACCCGACACTTAGTGTAACTGCTTTTGGAAATTTATAAAATATTAATCCTTTTATAATAAATGATAAATCATAGATGTGTATTGGAATTGTTACATGATATGTACCGGCCATTTGTATTTATAACCGCTGTCAACTTGTTTTTGTTTGACTGCATCTGTCTGCAATAGAATAAAGCATGTTTTTGTTTTTGTTTTGTTAGATAGAGATTGGTAAAGATACAAAACGCAACACACACATAAATACATGT